AACCTTTTATCTGTTAGTTGCCTTACCAAAACTTTTAACTATGCTATCATATTCGTACCCACTTCTTGTCTTTTATAGGACCTGAGTTCGAAGAGGATTTTTGGTAGGGGCTATGAACGCGATTGGCTTTACTACTTTGGCAACCCACTGGACCGACCTTCTTCATCTACTTTAGCTAGTTTTAGGAATCTGTTTTGCCTACTTCAATGTTTTGTGTTTTTTTAGTTCAAACTTTATATTTATGGCACGCCTGTATGTGTCATGTCAATTTTCAATATTTATGTCAACTCTTTCCTTTATTAAACAAAGCCTGCAAGGATTCTAAGTTTCATTGTGTGGTTTGTGAGTTGTCTAAACATAAACATACTAGTTATATACCTCACATGATTTGTGCTCCTTATGCTTTTGATCTTATTCATTCCAATGTTTGGGTTCCTTAACCTATTACTGTTTTCCTTGGTCATAGATATTATGTGACTTTTATTGATGATCACACTAGGTGCACTTGGGTTTATCTGCTTGGATGTAAGTGTGATGTGTTCCCTATTTTTGTTTAATTTTTACAAATGGTTTAGACTCAGTTTCATCTAGTTGTTCGGAATATCCGTTCTGATAATGGTGAGGAGTACATTTCCAATGCTTTTTGTTCCCATCTTAATTAGACTAGTATTCTTCAACAAATTATGTATCCTTGTACTCTTGAGCAAAATGGTGTCGTTAAATGCAAAAACCATCATATTATTTCTGTTGTGCGGTGCCTTCTTCATGGTATGGGTGTTCCCAAATTGTATTGGCATATGGCTACCCTTACTGCTGTCTACCTGATTAATCGAACCCCTAGTCATGTTTTGCATGGTCTTACTCCATTTCATGTTCTTATGCCGACCTCCACTCTGTTTCCTCTCCTTATGCGTGTCTTTGGGTACCTATTTTGTTTACGATTGGAGTCCAAATCGGGCTAAGTTAGATGACAAGTCTATTCAGTGTGTCTTTTTAGGGTATTCTTCCATGTCTAAAGGTTATCGGTGTTTTGATCCCGTGTCTAGTCACTTTCATCACACTTTGGATGTTACTTTTTGTGAGGATCTTCCATTTTGTGGCCCTAACTCCTCTTTGTAGGGTTCACCTCCCATTATTCCCAGTGCTCGGCTATTCTTATTTTGGATGAGGTTGTGAATGAGGTCGTCCCTCCCTTCTCACTCTCCACCTTTGTAAGTTTCTTCACCTCCATTGCAGGTTTACTCTCGCCGCCCTCACTCTTAGCTGCCTTATGCTGCCTCTTCGCTCCTTGAGTCAAGTAATTCCTCTACTTTAGACACTGCCCCTCCGCCTCATTGTTGTAACCTACCTTGGGATTGGCATCCTCCAGACTGTTGGGGGTTATTTTGGTAGTACTAATCTTCCCATTTCTCATAATCTTTCTTATGATAGAGTTTCAGATTCCTATCGCTCTTTTCTTGGCAAGCTTGAGTCAGATTCTATTCCGCATTCTTCGTCTGAGGTCCTTCAGAATCCTAAATGAGTTGCGGCTATGTAGGTTGAGATGGCTGCCTTGCAATAGAATCATACCTGGGATCTTGTCTCCTTACCATTTAGGGAAAGTACTGTTGGTTGTAAATGGGTGTTCACCATTAAGTTCTGGCAGATGGATCTATTGATTGCTCCAAAGTGCAGTTGGTTGCCCAAGGGTTCACACATGTTCTTGGCAAGGATTTTGGGGCTACTTTTGCTCCTGTTGCCAAGCTTACTTTTGTCCGTCTTCTCATCTCTCTAGTAGCATCTCATTCTTGGCCTCTTCATCAACTTGTGTTCAGAATGTGTTTCTCCATAGAGAGATTTTCTTGAGACGATTTACATGGCTCCTCCACCCAGTTTTCGGGCTGAGGGGGAGTGTTCAGGAAAATTTTGTTGTTTACGCAAGTTTTTATATGGTTTGAAACAATCTCCTAGAGCATGGTTTGATCGCTTCATCTCGATCATCCTATCCATGGAGTTTGTTCAGTGTCATTTAGATCATACTTGCTTTATCTGTCGAAATTCTACCGGTCAATGTATCATTTTGTTGGTTTATATGGATGATGTCATTCTCACAGGCGATGATACTATTGGCATCGGTCAGGTAAAGAGGGAGTTAGGTGGAGAATTTGATATCAAGGATCTGGGATCTCACAAATACTTTTTGGGGATTGAGATTGCTTGTTCTTGTTAGGGGATTTCCTTGACTCAGAGGAATTACACTTTTGATTTGCTTCAGGATACTGGTATGTTAAGATGCAAACATGTTTTTACTCATATGGATCCTAATATCAAGCTTACATCAAAGTCTGGTGAGTTATTAGAAGACCCAGGCATGTTTCTGCATCTTGTTGGTCGTTTTATTTATTTGACCAACACTAGACCTGACTTGACATTTGCAGTTAGTGTAGTGAGTCAGTTCATGCATACTCCTCGTACGAAGCATCTTGATGTTGTTCACTAAATTTTGCGATATATGAAGACTTCTCCTGCTTTGGGATTATTCTTCTCAGTTGCTTCTCAATCTGAACTTTCTTGTTTCATTAATGCTAACTATGCAGGATCTAGAACCAATCGACGTTCCACTTCTGGTTTCTATACTTTCTATGGTGATCATCTTATATCATGGAAAAGTGAGAAGCAAGAAGTTGTTTCTAGATCCTCAGCAGATGTGAGATTCTATGGCTATGATCTATTCTTGTAGAGTTGGGATATGAAGAGGCTGCTTCTGCTTCTTTGCTTTGTAATAATAAACCAACAACTATGAACTCCTCTAACTCAGTACTTCATGAGCGTACTAAACACATCAAGGTCAATATACATTTCATTAGAGAAAAGGTTCAGACGGGCATTGTAAGTCCATAATTTGTCTCTTATTCTAAGTAGTTAGCTAACATGTTCATAAAGTTCGTGGGTCCAACATTACTCTAGTCTTCTATTGCCAAGCTGTGTTTGTTGAATATCTTCGCACTAGCTTGAGAAGGAGTGTTGGAATTAGGAAAGTTATATTTTGTATATATGATAGTTTGTATAAAACCGTGATTGTATAAATCATGGATTTAGTGCCTTAGATTATTTTATTCCTAGTTTGTAATCTTGATTCATTATATATTCATAACCTTACCTCATTCAAAGGTAAGCCATTCAATTCAATTCATTCTTTTTTTAATATGTATGCACCACATATTAATAAGGATTAGTAATGATCTAGTGGTAAAGGATTTGCTTTATCAAGCAGAGGTGCCTATTTTGAACCTTGGCAGTATATTTTTCCAATGCGCACTGCAGCTTGAAGGGTAGGTTGGTTCTTTGAACCTGCTTCCGGTTCGTCCAGTTGACTGGCTTAGTTGGTTTAACAAATATAGCCCGATTTTCAAACTAAAGTGGGTTGAAGGGTGCATCCGGACCAGAAACTAAACCAGCCGACAGGTCAATCAGTTGAACTAGATGGTCCTGTCCAGCTTTCAAAACATTGCAAAGGAGAATCGAGAATATTTTAAGTATATTTAAATAATTTCAATTTCAATTTCAACTCCCATTGTTGGTCGATAACTGAAGGTGTTGACAGTAGTAGACTAGATACACGTTCCAATCCAAAACATGGTCAGTGAAATAGGCTCAGCCTATCATACTCCATCAGTCCATCTACATTACCTTGACCCTTCTCCATGGTAACCTAATGCATTCTATACCACCCTAGGTTGAGAGCAGGGCCTTGGGATTTCCATTAGCATGCTATCTCATCATGAGATAACTAGAACATTATTTGAAACCCACCCACATGACCTCAGATCATGTGGCCTAAAGGCTGGAGCTAAAGGTTTTCAAAAGTGCATTCTCTCACTAAATGACTTATACCTTAGCTAGTCATATGGATAGTCAGACAGATAGATATATGTATATATATAGGGAGAGAGAGAGAGAGTGTCTTCGCTATGGTGGATGTTGCCCCCACTAACAAGTCTCGTGTCTGGTATGAGCTGCCATTTGATGTGGTATACATGAATAGAGAGAAATTGACAAAACTTTTTAGTACATGGGGATGAAGTACATAGGCTTAAGAACTTACTACATTTGCTTAAATTTTGGATCGAATGATTTTTTTTACGATTATTCCTTTTCTTATATAAACCACCTATGTACAAATGATGCTCCCCTTTCTGGTGCCTTTATGAATACATATTTACTCATCAAATAAAAATAAATAAACAAAAGTTGCCACTTATTTCTTATATTAGCATAGGCAAGTGCCCTTGGCACATTCCACCGGTAAGTCTTTATGAACTCTCTTTTGTAAATAGATTTCCACCATCCATTCTAAGAAATTAACACCAGACGTTTGGGCGACACTACAGAATCTCTCCACTGAGATTGTCTCATGTGCCACCTCATTTCCCACACACCATGTTTCCCATTGTTCCCAATTTGCTCAAGTTTCATCACCCAACTGAAAGTGCTTATGAACAACATCTTAGTTCTTTTCAATAATCTTTTCATTTACAAGATATGAACTCAATACACCAAAACCTATGCCTAGGCACTGATACCCAAGATCTTAATCAGTCATGTTTACTTCAAAGGTAAGTATTTTGGTTACACAATAGTGACAAATGCTTACTGAATTAATCTAATAAGCAAAGAAAACAAAAACTTAACAACCAGGCTTAGAAAGTGCAGTCAATTAGTCAACAAAGCAACTAGTAATCAAAATTCGATCTAGAGATATTTTATTTGCTATGCATAGAATTTAACAAGGCATCATGCTCTTTGTATATGACAAGTTCAAGTAGTTCCATACTCATTCTTTTCAAATATTGCATTGGCTCCACAAAAAGTGCAAACCAATTTCATAGAAGCAGGCAATTCAAAATAACAAGTAGCCATTAAAAGGCAGAGATGCATTTAATCGACTTCCAGTAGATATATTGCAAGAAAGAGAAAGAAATGAAGTGCAGTCTTTATGCAAGGAGTAATTTTCAACATACCTCTGGCTGAAGTTCTCTCATTATCTCATACATGTCTAAAAGAACAAATAATTTTTCTGGTGATCTCTTGCTTTTTGCAATAGCCTCTCCAAAACTAAGGAGCACAGCCACACAGCTTTCTGTAACATCTGCAAAACACTGCTCCCTAAGGGAATCAACACCTTCAAATATTTGATCACAAACTTTCCTTTCCCCAGCAAATAGAAGTTTAACCTGTTTCAGTTAATGAGAAATGATGGAAAAATTAAAAATATTTACTAAATTATACTTAAGTCAGTGTAAAACGTTACAGCAATGCGCATGAAATGAATCCAATTTCCAATCTTAGCTTCTAAAACCTCCCACTGCATCCTTTGGACATCATCTTTAGTAAGTTTTTCCACGCCTAGTTTTCTGAGGCTTTGTTCCAAAATTGCAGCACGAATTTCCCTGGGTATGAAAAGAAAATGATTGACTATTTTAGCCAGAATTCAAAAAAAGGATTGTTAGTTCAAAAAAAGATCACATATATCTTTGTAAGTACTTTATAAAGAACACCCACGAGTGACGAAAATAATAAAAAAAAAGGATAAAATTTCACTATAAATGTGATGCAGAACAGACATGTAAAGATTTTGGCTGTAAATTGTATAAATTGTAATATTTATGTTTACTTATTTATAGTTTAATTAAGATCTTAGTGATATTGATTTAAGTACAAGTTAAGGCCTCGTTTAGCAATTTACAATTTTGGATTAAAAGTTAAAAAGTCGCTTAAAAAGTTTTAAAAATTAAAAAAACTATATAAAAAAAAGTTAAAAATTTCTTTTTCTCTTTACTTTTTGTACATTTTTTCGTAAAAAATCAAAAAGTCATTTCAAACATACTAGTTTGTTATTTTATTTTTTTATTTTTAAACTCATGTTTTAGCCAAAAGGCCAAAATGTTTCTAAGATAGCTTGTTTCTAAACAAGACCTAAGTATCCAATAAAATGGGGGGCAGTTACAGGTTGGTCCTGTGGACCGGACATATTTATCAAAAAGTCCTACTCCAACTTTCAGTGATAAATTTATTGTTGTAAAAATATTTTTAAGAGAATATAATTTTACTGCTTACACTTCTCACATCATGTTTCAATACAAACTAATACAAATATACTACAAAGAAATCAAAACTCACAAACAAAGGGCAAAATGTCTCAATCATTTATTGCTTTGATAAATTTATTAGTATCTCTACCTGTAGCAAATGGTCACTCCACAAGCACAAAACATATCTAAAAGCTTCAAAATTTTCTCATTATGAAAATGAGGGGCAAATAGGTAAAAAAAATGTTTACTCAAGACTTATGAATAAATAAGTTCAGTCAATAGAACCTACTAGTAATTATCCCATAATATTAGGATTTAGCTTCCTATTTTAGATTAGAGTTTCAAGCCTATCAAAATTAGTTCTTTACATTGTAATCTTTAACTGTAACTAATCACATATCGAGTAGGTTGTTGTCGTTGAAAGGTTAGGGTTGTGGTCCTTGTGTTGTTCTTCTTCGTCCTTTCTCTTCTTCTTCGTGATTTTTTTGCACTTCCCTTTCAGAGCAATTCTCTATGTATTATGGTTTTGAGATTAATTGAATAGTTGAACGAATTTCTTAATAAGCGTTTTGACATCAATTGGTATCAAAGCCCAATGTCTCTATTTGAACAACATGATTGCCATCTTGATACAATCTCATTTCTTCGAACTATCATCATTATCATTTGAATCAAATCAAAGTTGTTGCCTCCATAATCTTCGACAATTTGACCAAAGAAAAAATATATATCAAGCCATCGCAGCATCATCTCCAGCACTGTTGCTTCCTATCAGCATGGTTGCTACCTTCATCAATACCACAACAACCAGTCTTTGTGGATTATTGTGACCTCAATTGAAGCTTTGTTGCCATGAATCATCATTTTTACCTCGTTCTGTCAACAAAACTGTCATGCTGTTCTAGCTGCAAGACGTCGTTGTGCTCAAGCAAACGACAACGCAAGGTTTGTCTCTTAATCCATTATCCCTAATCCCTTAACTCAACCCACCAAATTTACCCAAGACCAAACCAACCCTACAACCAGTTACCCACAACCCTTTACCCTAACCGTTCAACCAGTCCCTTGACAAGCCCAACCCATTAACACTATTTCCACAGCCTAGCCCAATAAACCCATTACATATCTAGTCCATCTCCAGTAAAGCCAAATCCAGCCCATTTTATGACTCAAAACAAACTCAAGAACTCCAATTATAACCAGTCCAGCCCTACTTAAATAAACCAGCCTAGTTCAACAAACTAACGAAAGCCAATCAATCCAAGCCCACTAAGCCTAGACTAGCCATCCTTAACACCACCTACCAACCTCCATGTCATACACCGAATTTACCAGATCCGAACCTAAGTAAAGACATATGAAAACATAATCCAAATAGAGAAAATCAACATAGGAAGACAAACAGTATGAATGAGAATTGTTACCAAAAGGTGATATTGTTATAAAGAATTGAATTACAACCCGCTCTCTGGTATTCACATGGCATTCAATACATAAAGTGGGTAAATTACACTTTTCACCCCTGTAATTTACATCAAATCCCACTTTGGTCCTTACACATGAAATCATGGCAATCAACCTCCACAAATCCAAGTTTGGCCCCCTACACATAAAATTGTGACAGTCAACCCCATGCACTTTTGGTCAAATACCACTTTGGTCCATTTTTGTTAAATCCCACTTTGGTCTCTACACAAGTGTCAATGTCCCCCTTCAATTACTCCATTGTTTAATCTTTAACATAATTCAATCATGTGACAAGAATGTGACTACGAAATGAGAGTAAGAGAGGGAAATCATCCATATTTTCCACCAATACACACTTTGTCCTACATGATAAGCATGTGAGATAATACTATATATATATATGTATAAGTGTGTTCGTATGCTGAAAATTGGGACGGAGAGACAAGAAAATATAACTTTTGAAATCAAAACAGGCAGCACAAAAATCAAAGAGAAAGGAAGAGGAATGGACAGAACATTGTGTTACTGTGGTAAACAGAGTTTCGTGATTCCAATTTATGCAAAACCTTAGTTCATTCTCTTAACTGTTCATAATTTGCATTTTGTTTTGGCCTAAAACACTGATAATTTGATGTAAATTTTAAGACGAAGTATGTATTGGTGGGAAATGGGAATGATTTTCCTCTCTTATCCTCATTTCGTAGTCACACTCTTGTCACATGACTAGATTCTGTTAAATATTAAAATAATGGAGTAACAGAAGGGTGACATTCACTCTTGTATAGGGATCAAAGTGGAATTTGATCAAAAGTGTAAGGGTTGACTATGACAATTTCATTTGTAGGGACAAAAGTGATATTTGACCAGAAGTGTAGGGAGTTGACTATCATGATTGCATGTGTAGGGACTAAAGTGAGATTTGGTGTAAAGTACAAGGATGCAAAGTGTAATTTACCTATGAAGTCATAATATTTATGTACCTCCTACATTTATCTGCTACATGGCATGGATATACAATATGAAATCTCATTGATATAAAATGAAATTACACAATGAAATTGCCCCCCAGGCTTACATCACAAAAGAGGGTGTAACCCTTTACAACTTATGGCTCCAACAAAATAAGGCCCATGGTCACATACAAAAATAAAGAGCTCTTCTCGCTTATTTACAACACAATCATCATTGAGGCGGTGACATGCCATCCAAACTTGAAAAGGTTTTTATAACAAAGGGACGAACGAAAACATCAAGTAGAGAAATTCTTAAATTTAAGAAATATGCCTTGACATTAGATATGATCATGATGCGAGGTTGACACATAAGTATAGACTAGAAATTCTTTTCATAAGAACCAAAACCTCATGTATCCATTTAAAATTTTCCAAGGCAATACTTTATACAAAGAGTACATTTATCAATTTCAAAACCAATCCGAGTTACAAACTTTGTGAATCACACGGTTAATATTTGCCAGTAGTCTATAAAAGAACTACAAAAAACTAGTAGGCTATCATAAGCACCACTTTACCAGTGGTCTTTAAAAACACCACCAGACACCCCCACTTTACCAATTGTTAATTGGAAAAAATTGGTACCTACTCCGCACAAGTTTCAAGGTTTTCACCGAGGACCTCAAACAAAATACACTGACTGGATTCACTCACCAAAACCAATTTATTAAATTTGGTTCAACCAAATAATCAAATCATTGTATTCAAAATAAGTTTCAATTTCACTAAGTCGCAAAATTTCTACAACAATGAAATCTTCCACCGATTGCTAGCAATACAACGAATCTCTGAAATTTTTCAAAATGTTATACAATGGAGATAAAATCAGTAATTTGCAGCACATGCAATATGAATCCTCAATTATCTATCAATTAATATTTCCAAAGATAGTAAACAAGTAGAAAGGAAAACCTCAATTTCAACATATGCTACATGTATTCTCAAAATTTCATAAATTCACCAATTTGGATTTTCAAAATTTGGGGCTTTTCCAATTGTATGCATGCAATCAAGATATTGTTTGACAAATTTACAATATATAGAGAATACATTAAGAAATTTCTACATTTGGTGCAAAACATAGGACTCATGCAATCCATGCCAAAAACTATGACATTTTTCTCATAAATTCATATAGAGGATATCACACATCTACTATACAACTCGTATTTAAACAAACCAAACTAAACCAAACCAAGCCTTAAGTCCCATCAAATGGGGTCGGCTACATGAATCCTTCTTCTCCACGCGGCCCTATCAAAGGCCATTTCATTAGTCAAGTTAAGTAGATTCACATCTCTATTTATAACGCTAGTCAACGTTAATCTAGGCCTACCCCGTCCCCTGACACTTCCATCTACCGTTACAGCATCGCATCTTTTCACTACTGCCTCTGTTGGTCTCCGTTAAATATGACCAAACCATCTCAAACGATTCTCTCTCAACTTATCTTCTATCGGTGCTACTCCTACCCATTCCCGAATACACTCATTCCTAATCCTGTCTTGTCTAGTCTTACCACACATCCATCTTAACATCCTCATCTCAGCCACACTCATCTTATCTACATGTTTCTTGGTTGCCCAACACTCCGTCCCATACAACCTAGCTGGTCTAATAGCCGTTCTATAAAACTTACCTTTTAGTCTAGTGGATATTCGTTTATCGCTCAATACCCCAGACGCACTTCTCCACTTACACCATCCCGCCTTAATCCTATGGGCCACATCTGCATCAATCTCTCCCGCTGTTGTGATAATCGACCCTAAATAGCGAAAACGTTCACTCTTAGGCAGTTCTTGGTTCTCAATCTTCACTTTTCCTCTGCTTTCATTGTTACTGTTACTAAATTTACACTCCATGTACTCTGTCTTAGTT